CAATGAGAAGACCGCACACCACAATAAAGAGTAGCCCCCGCTCTCCGCAACTAGAGAAAAGCCCGCGTGCAGCAACGAAGACTCAATGCAGCCAAAAATAAATTAATTTTTTAAAAAAAGTGGGAATTTACTAAGCAAAGGAGGCGGGGTGGGAGAGATAGGTTAGGGAGCATTCCAGAGAGAAGGCAGAAATTCAGTGATGAATATGCAGACGGTGAATTCAAGTAACAGAAAGCTGTTGTGGCTGGAGCAGAAAGAGCTGGCAGGGAGTGGGGAAGAAACCCACTTTAGGTGGCCTTCACAGTCTAGGGGCTGGGTGGGTTCCTAGCAGAGTGGAAGGCCAGATGCCATCCTTTAGGATAGAGGTTGGATGAGAAGGTGGTGTGCATTAGCCTAAGTGCCCACAGAGAAGTCTGTTCAGATCCCTGACACAGGCTTTTGTGTGCTCTGAACTGGACATTTTTATCAGTCGCAATGGCCTCAGCTCATGAATGCCAAACAAGCACCTTCCACAAAAGGCGTTGCAGGGTATGTAGCCACCTCATCATGCAAATGGCCACATAGCTCATTCTTGGGGACCTTCCAGGCAAATGCTTTCCCACCTCTATGAGGAAACCACATCCTTCTCTTTCTTCACCTTCAGTAACAAATGGCATTACAAGGTAGAGAATACACAGGAAGCATGCCAACAGGAAGCACCCCCCAAAGAACCTCTAGTCCTGCAGGTTGCAAACTCGAGTGGGAGGCGCAGGGTGCAGAGGGGGGCTAAATGGAACACTCCTGTCTCCCCCAAGGAAATCTGAAGTGGAAGCTCATCATGTAAAATGAATAAAGCAACGACATTGGTCTTGTTGTAGGGGGCCCAGAACCTTCTTCCCCTTTCTCCATCCCCTAAGGTGGCTTCTAAGGTCAGTTTTATTAACAAAATAGAAAGTTGATATTCATGCAAGGGGGCAACTTTCCTAGCAAGACATTTCTAGGTGCAACTGAAAATTTTGGAAGAAAAGTAAACAAGAAAGATAAGAAAACTTGGCAGCAGGGCTATGTGTACCAATCCTCTTCTTGGAATACTTGCGTAATTCCTCGTTGCACTTAAATTCCAGACTTCATACCATACTATGAGACCTCGCATGATCTGGTCCCTCCCTTCTGTTAGGAACTAAGACTGTACTATGACTGCCTGCATCACTGTACTCCAGCTTACTCTCTGCCTCAGCACCATTGCACTCACCTCATATCTACATGGCTGGCTCCTTCTTTATTCCGTTCTCTACTTAAATATCTACCCCCTCAAAAAGGTTTCCCCTAACCACGCTCTCTGAAGTAGTCCCTTCCCCACTCCCAGTCACTCTAGCCTGGTACCCTATTGTGTCTTACCGCTATCTGAAATTTTCTGGTGTGTTTTACTTGTTTTTCTCTCTCTCAACTACAATGTAATTTACGTGAGTACAGCGATCTCGTTCAACATCATATCTGCAAAGCCTAGAACAATGCCTGGTACTCAATAAATGTTTGTTGGATGAATGGATGTAATAGTATTCTCATATATGGAGGATAGTCATGTGGATAAAAAAATTCATTTATTCATCTAAGAAATGTGAGATAACAAATATTCATTCATTAATAAATAATTATTGAGAGACTATCATGTCCTAGGCACTGGGGATAAAAGGTAAAAATAGAGGAGGCATCCCTACCCTTAAGGAGCTCATAGTGTTGTGGTCAATGTGGAGAAATGTGGAGAGAATCCAAGACATGAGGACTTACTGGTCATGGGACGTGAGGAAGAGAGACGAAAAATGAACCCCGGGTTTTAGACTTGGGCAGGTGAGGAGGTTATTGCGCCATTCTGGGAGCAAAGGAACCTCAGATAAGAAGGGGAGAAGAAGGTCAGCTTTAGAAATGTGGAGCTGTGGAATATCCAGTGGAAATATCCAGTAAGGAGGTAGATATCCAAGTCTTGAGCTTGAAAGAGAAGCCTGGCTGGAAATACAGAGCTGGTGAATCAAAGGCAGTGCTTGTAGACATGGGAGTTGGTGAGACAAAGTAGGTAAAATGAAGTGAGGAGAAAAAAAGAAAGAGGGGCCTTGGAGAAAACCAACCTTTAAAGGGTGGTTAGAAGCCAAACCTGCAAAAGAATCTAAAAAGGAGAAATCAAAATAATGGAAACCACAGAGCTCATTGTCATAGTAACTGAGGGAAGACAGTGCCTAATACATTAGAGATGCCATAGTACGAGGACTGAAAGGTATCCATTGAACTTGGTGACAGAGCAGCCTTCAGTAATCTTTGCCATAGCCATTGCCATGGCGTGTTATAGCTGGGCATGATATTTTTGTTTGCTGTGAAGGGAAGTGAAGACTGGGAAACGGAGAGAGAGGTAGAAAGCTCTTGTAAGGTGCTCGGCCCTGAAAGGAGGAGAAAGATGGAAGGGTAGCTGAAGAATCTGGCTAGAAAAACACATTCAGTAATACTCTAAAGAGCAGAACAAGGATCTTGAATGGAAACTACTGCGAGGCTGCCTTGGTTTAAAACTTTGTAACCATTAGCATTCTTCAAAAATGGGTTGGGCTGCCTCCAGAAGTACTGAGCTCTTGATTACTAGAGGTATCGAAGAATAGCCTAAATGTTACAGTATATTAACAAAGAGTAAGGTGTTCAATCAGTAGTCTAGGCTTCCACCATAAGAAACTGGAGAAAGAAAAGCAAATTAAACCCAAAGCAATCAGAAGAGTGGACATAATAAAGATAAGAACAGAAATCAGCAACATTGAAAGCAGAAACACTATAGGGAAATATAAATGAAACTAAAAGCTGATTCTTTGGGAAAAAAAATTGATAAAATTCATAAACCTCTAGCCAGACCAAGAAAAAAAAAAGAGAAGACACAAATTACCAGTATCAGGTATGAAATAGGGATATCACTATAGATCTCACAGACACCACAAGGATAATAAAGGCATACTACAAGCAACCCTAAGCCCATAAATTAAACTTAGATGAAAGGAATCAAGTCTTTGAGTCACAGAAAACCCCAAAACTCACTTAAAAAAAAATCGATACCTTGAACAGTACTATATGTGCTAAAGAAATTGTATACCTAGTTAAAAAAAAAAAAAAGACTTCCAACAAAGAAAACTCCAGATACAGCTGGTTTCACTTGTGAATTCTACCAAAAATTTAAGGAAGAAATAATAACAATTCCAGAAAATAGAAATTCCAGAAAATAGAATACCAAAAATTTAAGGAAGAAATAATAACAATTCCAGAAAATAGAAAAAATAGAACTCTTTCCAACTTATGAGGTCGGCATTACCCCCTAATACCAACACCGACGACACTTGAAAACTCCAAATCAGTGTCTCTAATGGATATAGAGTAAAAATCCCCCCAAAAATATTAGCAAACAAAATCCACCAATACATAAGAAGGATAATGCATCACAACCAAGTGAAGTTTACCCCAAGAATGCAAGGCTGGTTCATCATTCAAAAATCAATCCATATAGGGACTTCCCTGGTGGTGCAGTGATTAAGAATCCACCTGCCAATGCAGGGGACACAGGTTCGAGCCCTGGTCCGGGAAGATCCCACATGCCGCGGAGCAACTAAGCCTGTGTGCCACACTACTGAGCCAGCGCACCACAACTACTGAAGCCCGTGTGCCTAGAGCCTGTGTTGCACAACAAGAGAAGCCACGGCAATGAGAATCCTGCACACCACAATGAAGAGTAGCCTCTGCTCGCCGCAACTAGAGCGAGCCCACGTGCAGCAATGAAGACCCAACGCAGCCAAAAATAAATTTAAAAAATTAAAAAAAAAATCAATCCATGTAATTCACCATATTAATGAATGAAGAGTAGCCTGAATAATAAATAGGCAAGTTTTCAAATTATATGATGAATCAAAGGATCTAAGCTTAGACATAGCAGTAAAGACCAAGTTACTTAATTTACTGGTTTGGGGAGGAACAGATTAATTAAGAAAGTGAGGAAATTTCCCCTCTGGCTAAGAAACTGAGAATGACAGTCGGATCAAGCAGGTCTCTCTGGAGAGTTCAGTTGTCCTCCTTCTGTCATCCTCACTTCAAAGACTGAGGGAGTTTAGGGGTTTCTTTCTTGAGCAGCTGGCCTGCTATATTTCCAGGATGGCCATGTTCTACCCATGCCTGGTTAAGAAAGCCAAGGGCCCTCACAGTCCTGATTTTCTCAAGATGCTTTAGAAGCCAAGAGTATCAGAGTTGAATGAAGGCTGGATCTTACCTAATCCAGATCCCCACACAGTTTAAAGAAGAGAAACCAAGACCCGTGGAGGGTGGCTCGTGTAGGTCCCCTTCCCCATCACTGAAATCCAGTGATCATTAGCTGGTCCTGGTACAGTAAGCCCATTTGACCATATCTTCCAGGCCTGTCCTCCCCCAAACTTTCTCCGCCAGGCTTTGTAGTACACGTTTGCTTTTAGCCTTTACTTTTATGCATAAAGAGTCCCCATCAAAACCTGTCTGGGTCCTAGTCCCTCTTCCCTCACCAGTTGGAGTCTGGGGTGGAGAAAAGCAACCAGACCCAGGCCTTCACACAGAGGCATCCTGTATTACTGGATTGGAGGATTGGTCCAGCTACCTGCTTTGAGCCCATAGGCCTCACAGCTAGCCAGATGAACATAGTCTGGGTCCATCATCTCTGTTTGATCCCACTGCCACTTTGAATTCTTTCAACAAATTCCTTATAAGGTTGTAATGAAAATGTACTGCACGCTCATTATGTCCAGGGTCTGTGCTATGAGGCTATACGTTCTCTCACCTCATCCTCATTTTGCAGATAAATGAATAGGCTCAGAGAGGTTAAGCAACGTGCCTAAGATCCCACAGCTAGTTAAGTAGAAGTGTTAGGATTTGAACCCAGGTCTGGCTAACTCCAGTGTTCAAGCTTTTAGTAATGAAAATTCTTTCTGGTTTAAAGTAAAAATGGTTTTCTCTTTCTTTCCCTCCTTCTCTATTTTCAGTCTCAGGAGGAAGTCTGTGATTTGCTCCATGCTGCACCCTTCCAAAACATCTTGCCTAGAGTCTACATCAAAGGTAAGAAACCACTGACAGCAGCTAAATGGCCAGTCTGAATTTGCACCTCATGCTCACTTAATCCCAATAAACTCAGATGTGCGGTCAGAAATGGAGAAGTTGAGAGCTTTGGACAGCTATTGGGTAGTCACAGAATTGGAAATGCGTGCTCCAAATGCTCCAGGCCTTGGTCCTTCTAGAATATCCCTAGTAAGTTGCTGTCTAGCTTGGTTGGTCTAAATCCTTCAAGTGATGGGGAACTCACCACCCCATGAGGTAGATGATTCCACTGTTGGGCACAGATAATAGAACATTTTCCTTGTAGTGGGTCCTGATCACACTTGCCAGAACCAGGGAAAACAGTTCTACACGCTCCATCCAAGTGTTGGAATACAAATACGTCACCAGGTCCTCTGAGAGCTCTTCCTTCCCCATTTCCCCCGGTGTGCCCTGAATCTCATTTTCTGCCTACTGTTCCTTTTGCAGAGGGGGAGCGTTTGGAGGTCCGGATGAAACGCCTGGAAGCCAAGTATGCGCCACTTCACCTGGTCCCTCTGATAGAGCGGCTGGGGACCCCTCAGGTACGATCCTCCTATCACGGACTCGGAGAACCAAAAGGAACTTTAGAGGGAGAGAGAGCATTTGGTCCAACCTCCTCATTGTACAGATGGGGAAACTGAGGCCCAGAGAGAGAAACAGAAAGTCTAACAGCACACAGCCTGTTAGTGGCAAGGGCAGGTCTTGAATGAGTTTTGCTGACTCTCAGGCCTGCACCCAGTATCATCTATCCTGCCAAGAAAGAAGGAAGTCAGACAAGTGTCTGTCACTCCCCGTTAGGTATTAAGAGTTCTGCTGAGTTATCTCTCAGAATTAGAACCGCATGCCCTGTGAACCGGCAGTTCATCTCTGGGTATCTTTGCTAAAAAAAACTCTTACAGGAACACAAGATGTTTACCACGGCATTGTTTGTTAAAGCAAAAAACTGGAAACAACCTAAATGTCAATCAGTAGAGTGTTGACTAAATAAAATGTGGTAAAATCATTCAAATGATGAATACCTGCTACATAATAATGAAAAGAAAAAAATCAGATCTAGATGCATCAGTGTGGACAGACCATAAGCACATGGTTAGGTGAATAAAGCAAGTTGCACTACAGGTCATGGAGCATGATGCTATTTGTATTTTTTTAAACACATATCAAAAAACCATATTAAGTAAAACTTTTCCTAGGAAATGAAAAACACCCAGTTCATAATGGTGGCAACCTCTGAAGAAAGATGAAGGGGACAGAGATGGGTGGGGAGATCAAAGAAGGCAGCTTTATCTGTAATGTTCTAATATTTTTGAAGGTGAATGAGCTCAGGTGTTAAATCTGTAATTAAAACTCATTTTTACAAACCTGAACATGGAGATTCTCCTGCCTTTGGAGAACTCACAAACCGTGCAGGCAGTCAGGAAAGAAGATACTTTGGAGGGGAAAGGGATGAAACAAACAGCATGTTCTGTCTCCTTTCAAGTTGATTCAAGTTGAATCAAGCATTTGGTGGTGGGGCAGGGCACGGATCAGGGTAGGAATTCAGGAAGAAGAGAAAACAGGGCACTGCAGCGAGACAAGCCAGTATGGCTTGTTCTGTTCCACAAAACACAAAACCGACTGTTTAAAAGGTTTAGGATTCAGATCCACTCTTGGACTAGCATCCCTAAGGTCCTCTCTCCTATCATCACAAAAGCTCATGAATCAGAAAAATTCTCATCCTCCACAGAGGGCGGAAGGCGGCCTCTTCTCTCGAAAAACATGGCAAGTGTTGGAGCCCATGACAGGGCCCCATCTGCCCAGGTGTCACACTGATGAGCAGCCCCAGCCAGACCCCCTGCAGGCCACCCACCTCCTACTGAAAACAGTGACTAAACATTTAGTGACATTTGGGTTCTTTAGTCACCACAGAGAGAATGTAGATACTGTGAAATATGCACATTTTCTTTTTTGGCCTTCCGGGGCTGAACACAGGAGATCCTCTAAAGATTGCCTTCTAGGGAGAAATCCCCCAAGCCAGCGACATATAAATGTGTCTGCTCCACTGTTGGTGTCATCCTACAAGAATCTGGCCTCTCACACCCGGGCTTCGGCATGTGTTTCCACTTAGGAGTCTGTGAATTCCTTCCGTGTTCTGATGAACACTATTTCCTTGGGACTGATAGAAATCTCAATTTGTCAAATGCTGATGTTTAACAAACAAAAGCCTAGACATTCTGCCAGAGAGGAAATGCCAGTTTTATAAGTCTCCCAGCCCTTAAGAAATAGTCCAAAACTTAGTCCTCCTGTAGACCAGAGAAACATTTTTAAAATATTAACGTCCAAGCTTGCTGGGGTTCAGGGAACTCACATAACTTCTAGGTTGGTGACAGGGAAATTCTGCTACATGTTTAATGTTGGGAGAGTTTAACTGTATTGCATTGCTTGTATTTGTTTCTAGGAAAAATGGAGGTGACCTGGTTTGTTGCCCAGTGCTATCATGAATTAATGTTCTGTCAGGGAGTTGAAGGACTCCTCTTTCCAGCTTTACCCCTGAATTGTTGCATAATCTAGTGCTAGACATTTAATATCTTGGTCTTTGTTTTCCCATCTATAAAATGGGCGAATAGCTGTTTTGTCTTTTTAGCTGAGCTGCCTTTCACAATCACTATGATAAACAAATAAGTAAAAAGCTTCTAAAAAACAGAAAGGAAAGAGCAAGCATGGAGATATTTTTCTCCAGAGTATCCTAAATATAATCAAAGTACTCCATGCAGATATATGTTTCCACATGATTTCACAGATGCTTTTTCTATACCCTTGTTAACTCAGAAAAGAATGGCAGAAAGAGAGAGAAAAAAATTCCCCACTGAGTGGAACAGAAATGGCTAAAATTTATGTTAAACATACACACATAGTATATATATACATATATATATATATATATATATATATATATATATATGAAACACAAAGTCACAGATTGAGGGTATATGCAACAAACAATCTTTAGTGCACTTTTTCAGATTAGAAGAACACTCATATCAAAAGAAAAAAGAGGGCTTCCCTGGTGGCGTGGTGGTTAAGAATACGCCTGCCAGTGCAGGGGACACGGGTTTGAGCCCTGATCCAGGAAGATCCCATATGCCATGGAGCCACTAAGCCCGCATGCCGCAACTACTGACCCAGCGCTCTAGAACCCGCAAGCCACAACTACTGAGTCCACGTGCCACAGCTACTGAAGCCTGAGTGCCTAGAGCCCGTGCTCTGCAACAAGAGATGCCACCGCAATGAGAAGCCCACGCACCGCAACGAAGAGTAGCCCCCGCTCACCTCAACTAGAGAAAGCCCACGTGCAGCAACGAAGACCCAATGCAGCCAAAAATAAATAATTAATTAACTAAAAGCAAAAAGAAAGAAAAAAGGGCATGAAAGAAAACTCACAGCCTAAGAAATATAAATGCCAACAAACAGGAGAAAAAGTGTTCCGCTTTACCAGTGATCGATGCAACGTGAAAGAGAAGGATATAGCTCTTCATTTCGCAAGTTGGCTAAGAACTTTTCTTCATGATAATGAAGTACTGCTAAAGGCACAAGGAACAGACTTGACACAGACAGGTGTACAGTGGTTCAGCTTTTCTTGGGACTAATTTGTCACTATGTAACAAAAGCCTTTTAAAACTGCTTATACTCTTTGACTGGACAGTTCTACTTCTAGGATTTTATCCTAAGAAGATAACCAGAGAGAAGCTCAAAAAGTGTAATATATAAGGATAATTACTTACGAGTTGTCTATAATGATGAAAACTTGCGAGCAATTTAAAATAACCAACAGGAATAGAGAACTAAATAAATGACGTATGTCAATGGCCATTTTATGTAGCCATTAAAAAACCATATTACTGAATATACTAAAGGAAATTTTTTTTTAGTACCAGTATCTTAAGAGAAAAAAACAATGTAGATAGTGTGACCCAAATTGTGTTAAAATAGATACATATACATGCTCACGTACATAAACACAAATAAATCATACATAAGTATTTTAAGAAAGCTCATCTGTGGGTGATGGGATTTATGGGAGATTTTTATTTTCTTATAACATTTTTACAATTTTTTTTCCAGATTTTACTCTTGTAGCTCATAGGAAAACCCATAAAGGTAAACAGTTTTTCAGGAAAGGGGCAAAGCCCCTAACCATTTCAGTCAAGGCCCTTTGGTTGGCTCTGGTTGGGGGGGGTCATTAGAGTTCAAAATCTGTCTGCAGGTTTATAAACCCTGTTGCTAATTCTTTAGATCCTCCCACAGTTGTCAGGCCCTGAGGACTGATACAGACTAACTAAATGCACAGGTTAACTAGTAAGCCAGAACTCTCTGTATTAATTTCTGAAGGAGAATAATCATGACTCGAGAACAAACGTGGGTTCTTTATTTACTGAGCATCTTCGCTGTACCAGGCACTCTCTTTCTAAAGTGGAGAGCCCTGTCAGGGTCCAGATACTACCACAGGGAGTTGCCTGGTGAGAACAGAGTCAAGCACTGGGGTCAGGGTTTTTGAAAAGAAGTATTTCTAGCTAACTGTGGCAGCTTCTCTGCGCTGGAGCGATCTTTCTCTGCCACCAGAATCAAGATGAGTCACCGTGAATCAGGGTTCCCTCTTGTGTTTGAAACACAGGTCGTAAGCTCTTCTTCCCCAATTCACGTTTTTCGTCCTAGACTTCTTTGAGTTTATAGCTGTCATGACAGCTACACTCCTGACCCACATTCCTAAAGGGCTCCAGCATTGGTGTTTCCTGATTTACTTCCCTTCATGGATTAATTTAATTGAGGCCGCCCTCTTTCTAGGGGCTGTAGGGTGTGGGGAGCGTGCAGGGAGCAGGCAGGCAGACTCCACCCAGCCACACTGTACACTGAGCTCTCGGGCGGGCCCGCCCTCTGGGGAACTGATCCCAGGAGTGCCCTGTGGACCTCTCTGTCTCTGAAGCCGGCCCTCTTAAGCTTTGTCCCTAGATTTGGAGATTGTACTTTGACCTTAGATGTTAATATCTATTATCTTTGCACATGGCTTTGAGACCTCTACCCCTAGATATTTTCTGCTCCTGCAGACGGTAATGTGTTTTGAAGTACTAGTCTAGCTGGCTGATTATTAGAGATGTAGTAACCAGATGCCATATGAGAAGCCAGTTTAAATTATTAAGGAAGATTGTTAACAGTGGTCAGAGAACTTCTAACGGGAGGAATAATCTGTAAAATCAGCGACAAATTTTTAAGAGTAACATATGCTTATTGTAGCACATTCAACTGTACAGAAGTATTTATAGTAAAATGAAAACCCCACCTGCTTCTCCAAGCCCATCTGTTCCCACAACTGATGTTAATCCTTCTAGAATGTTTTACACTCTCACCCCCACATACACATACGTGCGTACAGTTTTGTGTGTCTGTCTGTGGGATTGTGTTACTGATGTCTTTTAATAGGATTGTAGTATATGTCCTCTTCTGGAACTTGCTCTATTCACTTAACAATTTAATCCACAGCTCTAGACTACTAGGATTCAAATCCCAACTTTTCCACTCACTGACTGCCTCTCTGAACCTCAGTTTCTTCTTCAATAAAATGGGGATAATAATGGCATCTTCTTCATGGGGTTTATGTAAGGAGTAAATAAGGTAAGTACTTAACGAATGCATAGAACAGGGCCTGGTGTATTACACACACAGTGAGTGTGTGCTAGTAGTAGTAACAGTACAGTAGTAGCAATAGTACTAGTAGTAGCATCATCTCAGTCTTTTCAAAGGCTACCTAGCATTTCATTATATAGATGGATTGAAATTTTTTTATACTATTCCTCTAGCGATGGCTCCTCGATTTTACTTACCCCAAGACTTCCCCCTGCGATTGAACTCAGGTTTATAAAGTTAGTGCCCTGCTCTGGGCAAGACCTCAGTTCTGGTGAATGAATTACAGATGCAGCCAGCTCTGGGGTTTGGGAATATCGGGTGACAGGTAGAAAATGAGGTCTGAGGTGTGACTGGCAGGTGTATGTACTCTCCCGTTCCCAGCAAATCGCCATCGCTCGGGAGGGCGACCTCCTGACCAAGGAGCGGCTGTGCTGCGGCCTGTCCATGTTCGAGGTCATCCTGACCCGCATCCGGAGCTACCTGCAGGACCCCATCTGGCGGGGCCCCCCGCCCACCAACGGCGTCATGCACGTCGACGAGTGCGTGGAGTTCCACCGGCTGTGGAGTGCCATGCAGTTCGTCTACTGCATCCCCGTGGGGACCAACGAGTTCACAGCTGAGTGAGTAGTCCCAGGGAAGGCGGGGTCGCCCCCCCAACCTGCTCATCCCCCACCCGAAGAGCCATCGGGCAGCCAGAGCTCAGCCAGAAAGGAGGGCAGGGGCGGGGTTGTCCAACAACGGTTTGTTGAGCACGTGCTGTATGTCGGTCAGGGTTCTAGGTGCCGGACATGCATCTGTGCAGAGCAAAAGTAGACAGTTCCTGGTATGTGGGGTTGACAGGGCCAAGAGAAGACTAGAAAATAGATATAAGGTGCATCTAATGAGGTCCCTTGGCAGCGAGGGCAGGAAGGACAACAGATGCCCATGAAGAGAGACAAGTGGATTATAGGAATTTAATTCACAGATGACAGCTGAGCTGGAACACTGCTTAGGATTCAGCTCTTAGAGGGGAGAAGGGGACCCCACAGGGAAGGCTCCAAGTGGTTGAAGACAGACATGGAGTGTGTGCATATCGGGGCCTTGGACCTCTCAGGGCCTGTCTTCACGGGACTAGAAACTGGGCCTATGGAAGGGGTGGGGTGGGGGGAGCTCTGGCCAGGGCTTGGTATTAAGATCTCACCGCCCACCCCAGCAGAGCTCCAGGGGTCGTAGAACAGAGACAGGCTCCCCTAGCAGAAGGTGGGCCCCACCTTGCTCATGAGGCCTCTGCTCCTAAAAAGCAGGGGTGCCTTTGAGAGGAACCCAGTCCTGTTCTCAGAGAAGACAGAAGCAAAGCCCCATTCTCCTGTCACTCACCCAGCTACACAGCAAGAGCAGAGTGGTGAAGAGGGCAGACAGGGCCTGCCCTCCAGGAGCCAGGAGCTCTGGAGGAAACACGCACGGGGGCCAGAGAGGCCTCCCCGAGAGAGTGGTGCTGGGAGTGGGATGGGAAGGCTGTTTCCAGAGCAGCTGCACTTTCCGCGACAGCGGTGGGGAAGCTGGGAAACCTTCCCAGTGGGCTGCGCTGCATTCAAGGGTGAGCGATCCAGCCAAGAGATGCCCCACGGCCTCCCAAATTGCCCGGGTGGCCGTTGAGAGTTGGGGGCGTGCAGGCTGAGCTTCGCCAGACCCAAGAGGACTGGCAGCCCTGCACACCAGCAGCGTCTGTTCATGCCCCATCGTGTCCCTCCCCCACCCCCAGTCCCTGCCCTCTCCACCTACACTGGCCAGCTGGTCTCCTGGTTTGAAACCACCCTTCCCCTCCCAGGTGTTCCTCTGGTTCCTTTCCAGAGCCAAGACAGAGCTTCATCAGAATTCTAACTGGCTACATAAATCTCAAAGGCTGGTTGGATTTTTTTTCTTGCAAATTTGTCTTCTTCAAAGCTGATTTTTCTTACATTAGTGGGGCGACAGACTGACACCTCTTTATGGCTAGCAGGGCTTATAATATAACCACAGTCCCAGGAACAAATGAGTCCACACTCACAGCTTCCCTTGTACCCATTCTACAGATTAAGAGAATTGGCCCAGAGGTGAGCCAGCTCACTAGCTGTACTGCTGGTCCAAGATGAGGGTCCCTTCCCCCTCTGCCTCCTGCTTCTCACTCCAGCTGCTTCCTCTCCCACTCCCAGGCAGTGTTTTGGAGATGGCCTGAACTGGGCTGGCTGCTCCATCATCGTCCTGCTGGGCCAGCAGCGTCGCTTCGACCTATTCGACTTCTGTTACCACCTGCTGAAAGTACAGAGGCAGGACGGGAAGGATGAAATCATTAAGAATGTGGTAAGCAGCTCGTGGCTGGGTCCTGGGAGTTGGGGCCAGGCCTGACAAGCAGGCCTTTCATCGGCAGAGGAGGGTGAGCTGCTTATGGAGGCCAGCTCCCCACACCGCAGCAGGTAGGTACAGAGACATTCAGCAGCTGGTGACCTTCTCGTAAGAAGCCGTGAGTCACTGGCTCGTAACCCACATCACCCCGCAGGGCAGGGCCAGCCTCCAGACCTGAAACACACCTTCCCTGTGCCAGTCAGACTCTGCTAATGCTGCTTCGTCATCTGCACAAACTCTGACTGAACACGAAAGTTGTGCAGCCACGGGGATGGGATGAGCGCCGCTGTCGTGTGTCGGGTAGGCAAGGCTGCTGCGGGAGCATCAAGAAGGGCTGTCTAAAGCAGACTGAGGGGCTGGGCAGGGGCCTCAGAAGGCTCCCCCTAGAGGCGATGCTTGGGCAAAGTCCAGAATGACCAGCTGCAAATAGCCAGGCAGAAAATGGGGTGCAGGATGGGGAGAATGTTCTAGGCAGAGGGAACAGCTAGAGCAAAGGCACAGAGGCATGAAGATGTATGGCTGGAACAGAGGGTGGGTCTGCAGGACCTGCTGAGAGGAAAAAGAGGCAGGAGCCACCTCAAAGGTTTTTTGTTTGCTTTGAGGTAGAACATACGTAACATAAAATTTGCTGTTTTAGCTATCTTTAACTGTTTACTGCATTAAATTCACTCACCTTGTTACGCAACCATCACCACCTCCATCTTCAGAACTTTTCATCTTCCCCAGCTGAAACTCTGTGCCTAGGAAACAGTAACTCGCCATGCTCCCTCCCCGCAGCCTCTGGTAACCACCCTTGCACTTTCTTTCTCTGTGAGTTTGACTGCTCTAGAGGTACTTCGTATAAGTGGAATTCTCACTCAGCATAATGTGTTCAAGGCTCACCCTGTTGTAGCATGTGTCAGTATTTCCTTCCTTTAAAGGCTGAATAATATTCCATTGTATGTATACACCGCATTTTGTTTATCCATTCATCTGTCGATGGACGCTTGAGTTGCTCCCGCATTTTGGCTGTTGTGAATCGTGCTGCTGTGATCATGAGTGTACAAATAACTGTTCAAGACCCTGCTTTCATTGCTTTGGGGTATATACCTAAAATTGGAATTGCTGGATCATGTGGTAATTCTGATTTTAATGTTTTGAGGACCACCATACTGTTTTCCATAGTGACCACACCATTTTACATTCCCACCAGCAATGCACAGGAGTTCCAATTTCTCTGTATCCTCCCCAGCACTTGTTATTTTCTGTGTATCTTTGGAAATAGCCATTTTAATGTGTGTGTGAAGTGGTATCTCATTGTGGTTTTGATTCACATTTCCTTAGCAATTAGTGATATTAGCATCTTTTCATGTGCTTATTGGCTATTCGTTTATCTTCTTTGGAGGAATGTCTATTCAAGTGTTTTGCTCCCTTTTTAATTGGGTCATTTGGCTTGTTTTTGTTTGTTTGTTTGTTTTGCTGTTATTTAATTGCAGGTGTTCTTTCTATATTCTGGATATTAATCCCTTATCAGATATATGATTTGGAAATGTTTTCTTTCCTTCTTTGGGTCACCTTTTCACTCTGTTGATAGTGTCCTTTCATGCAAATAAGTTTTTAATTTTGATGTATTCCAATTTATTATTTATTACCTGTGCTTTGGTGTCATATCCAAGAAATCATTGCCAAACTCAATGTCGTAACGCTTTTTCTCTGTTTTCTTCTAAAAGTTTTATAGTTTTCACTCTCATGTTTAGGTCTTTAATCCATTTTGAGCTAATGTTTTGTATATGGTGTAAAGTAAGAATCCAACTTCTTCTGTGTGTGGATATCCAGTTTTCCAGCACCGTCTATTGAGAAGACCATTCTTTTTCCATTGAATGTTGTGGGCACCCTTGTCAGAAATCATTTGACCATATATGAAAGGGGTTATATCTGGGCTGTCTGTTTCATTGGTCCATATGTCTGTCTTCATGCTAGAACCACACTGTTTTGATTACTGCAGCTTTGTGGTAAGTTTTGAAACTCAAAGCGTTTTATGGTCAAGTTCACATTTCACTGTCAAGCTCTGGGCACCCATAGAAGGCCTTTAAGCAAGAGAGTGGCATGATCATTGAAGCATCAGGACCCCGGACCCCACCCTCAACTGAATTCTTCCCTTTCTCTTGATTCCTCTGTCCCCTCCTCCCATCCCTAACCTGCACGTCCCTGTCCTTCTACAGCCCCTGAAGAAGATGGCAGACAGGATCAGGAAGTACCAGATCTTGAACAATGAGGTTTTTGCCATCCTGAATAAGTACATGAAGTCCGTGGAGACGGACAGTTCCACCGTGGAGCATGTGCGCTGCTTCCAACCACCCATCCACCAGTCCCTGGCCACCACCTGCTAGGCGGAAGGTCCTGCAAACCCTCGACCTGGAGGAGAAGCAGGAGAGAGAAAGCCACAACCAGCCTGCAACAGGGTCTGACTGGACAGTGTGTGGGATGGACCTGGAAGGAAACAAGAACCTCCCCAAACACATCTGCACCTCCTGAGGGCTGGGCCTGTGCATGCTCTCCCACAACATCTCCATGGTGGTTTCTCCATAGTGTAAATGGAAAAAAAAAAAAAGAAAAGAAAAGAAACAGGGCAGTATATGCTTTTTTCTTTTTTACTTTTTTTTCCCTCAGCTGTGTTAAGAGCCCTAGTTTTACCCTTTCTCCATCTCGTGGTCCCCTACATCTGTGGTTGCTTCCCAAGACCTCCTCCTCAGATGGAGACCTCCAACCCAATGCCCACGTGCCACCCCAGAACTGAAGTCTTAGAGATGGAGAAAAGAGTGTGGTGATGCCCCAAGATGTCAGCCTGACCATGCTTCCACTTCCTAGCATCTTCACCTCCTCTGGCTCCCCCCCTCCACTTCCCAAGATGGCATCTTCTTCTGCTCTGCACGCCAGGGATTCTACCACCAAGAATACTCCTGGACCAGGCGCTGAGAGCCATGGTGAATGGGAGACGAGGTTCCTGGTATTGGTACCATGGTAGATGGTGTTGTGGTGTTGCCTTTGACCTTCCATGGACTCCCAAAACCACATTCTGACTCCCCTCTCAGGGCACTCCTAGAGAGAATTCAGAAATGCATTCACAACTGGAATGGGTGAGTAGAATTGGGGTAAGAAGATGGTCAGAACCGCTATGTAGAAGCAGTATTTAAGAACACAGCCAGGGATTCCATAGTCCAAGACAGAAAGCTATTAGACCACCTCATCAGCTTGATGGTGAGAGGGTCCTTTATTCATTGAGCAAATGCTTAGTGAGCACCAAGTTGCACAGGGTAATGGACACTGGGGCTACAGCTTTGAACAGGCCAGGCATGCACTGCCCACAGCATTAGCCAGCGACCAAATTAGGGGCCACTTCTTGGCACAGAATCTCTCATCAAGGAAAACTGTCACAAGAAAGAAAATATTAAAGGGTTATTTTAATAGAAGCCAGAAACATCTTGGGGTCAAGGAGGTAAGGAATATAAATAATACTTGTCAACGAGCTTTTAATACCAAAATATACCCCAAAGAGGAATCCTGTTCTAGTGAATCAGGACTTTTGTTGTCCTAGAAGCTGAAAGATTCCGGCGACATTTTATCTTTGACTGTCAACTTCCTTGATGTTCCTTAACTTAGATTTAGAGGTATGGCGTATATCTCACAGGGACGTGTCTACTTCCGTTTCCCTGACTGAACCAAAATTCCCTGCAGGATCTCCTACCAAGCATGGGGAGACTGTTTAGAAGGACAGAAGCCTTTGGGAAGTGAATTTCTCATTGCAGAGCACCTCATCATCAAAGGGAATCTATGACCCTGAGCTTGTAAGAACATATAAAGTGAGACATTGGATATTTCTCCCCCGGCCCAGGAAGGAAAAGAAAGAGAGAAAATAGAACAGTAATGATCTCCTCCCTCAGGGCAGATGAATGGAAATGGTTTCCATTAACCAGATGGCCCACTTCAACCCCATGGCAAGAGCAAAGAAGTGTCCATAGCAAGAGATTTGTGTTACCCACTCATGCTCACCAGGGAGGAGAGAGGTGGGGCTCGCCAAAGTATGGTCCAAAGGCCACATACATCAGGACCTCCTGAGATTAGCATGTTTAATGCAGATTCCTGGGCCCCATCTCACACCCATTGATTCTACAGCTCTGGGAGCAGGGTCAAGAAATCTGCACTTGCCACAAGCTGGATTGTTCTGTTGCACATGAGAGTCTGAGGACCACTGCTGTAGAGGCCCCCTGCACTGCTACCCTTGGGCTTCGAGCTCCCTCTGAGCCATGAAAGAAAATATTTGTTGGGAAGGAAAGTGAGTCAGGGTGGAAGCTGTCAGATCCTCCTGTCTGGAGCTGCCACTTCCTATTCTGATTTCTCATTTTTTTCTTCTTGATGACCATAGATGTATCCCAAAGGCAAAAGTGAGGCATTACACGACATGGGAGAACCACCAGGTAAAACTCACCTTCAAAACCCACATAAAATTTCTAAGCTCCAGAGCCTTCCGAGTCTTCATTCCTGTCTGGGAACAGTAGCTGGCTCACTCTCTCAGATTAAGTCTGCCTGTTAAGTCCTGGAGATCATTCTAAATCCTTGACCATTGCTTTGCAGAGATTTGGATCACCGGTTGGATGAGATTGCTATTTCCACAGTCTACCCCTCCCACCCTGCATTCATAGCCCTGAATTTGACCCTCTGGGTAGAATCCTATTATCCTCAAGAGGTTTGATCCCAGTAAATTGAGGTCTTCACCTTTAGGAGAGACGTTTCATTTCCCTGGCTCACCAGCAGCATTGATTTACGAACACCGAAAGGGTTTAATAATTCTTTCCTTCCTGGTGTTACTGCCCACCCCCACTTTTGATTTTTTGTGTATCTAAGAACCAGGAAAAATAAAAACTTAGGTTTTAAAAGGTTAAAAAAAATTCTGTTTCAGAAACTGTCAAATGTACCATATTTGTATTAAGAGTTGTTGGGGATTTTTGTACAATGAATTTACATTTATTTATGGTGACTTATATTTACGCTTGTGATCACATAATGATGGTAAATTCTTAAATCATATTTGCTATGCAGCTGAAGATGATATTTTGCTTTGTATTTTGGGGTACCTGTGTTCAGTTGATAAACATTTCCATCTCCATTAAAACTGCTTCCAAACTAGTGAAATGAGCGTCTTGTCTTGATTCTGGGTCATGTTCTAGTCGTCGTTGATCTGTGGAAGGCCACATGAAAACTGATGCCTAAGGATACAACCTGAAAGAGAATGGAGGAAGATAAAGAAGGCAAAGACATTGCGCCCTAAACTAATGGCTTGTTTTCCTTTCTCACTGGGGGAATTAAATCTTTACAAATTGACTTGCTCTGGGCAAGATATCGGAGATGGTTCCTGAGCCTAGGGGATTCATAGTCTGACAGTGTAACTCTACAAACTATATCCCTAGTTTTGTTTTTTGGGGGGTTTTTTTTGTTGTTTGTTTTTTATTTTTTTAATTGAAGTGTAGTTGATTTACAATGTGTTAGTTTTAGGTGTACAGCAAAGTGACTCAGTTATACATATATATCCTTTTTCAGATTCTTTTCCATTATAGAGTGTTACAAGGTATTGAATATAGTTCCCTGTGCTATACAGGTGTTCGTTATTTTTCTGTTTTATATATGGTAGTGTGTATTTGTTAATCCCAAACTCCTAATTTATTCCTTCCTCCCTCCCCACATTGGTAATCATAACTTTGTTTTCTATGTCTATGAGTCTGTTTCTGTTTTGTAAATAAGTTCATTTGTATCATTTTTTAGATTCCACACATATAAGTGAAATCATGTGATATTTGTCTTTCTCTGTCTGACTTCACTTAGTATGAAAATATCTTGGTTCATCCATGTTGCTGCAAATTTCGTTCTTTTTACAGTTGAGTAATATTCCATTTTGTGTGTGGGGGCGGGGGGTGGCGAGCGTAAGGTTGGCCGAAAAGTTCATTCGGGTTTTTCCATCAGATCATGTGAAAAACCCAAACGAACTTTTTGGCCAGCCCAATATATATACACACACATATATAATATCTTTTTTATCCATTCATCTGTTGATGGGCATTTAGGTTGCTTCCATGTCTTGGCGATTATAAATAGTGCTGCTGTGAACATTGGGGTGCATGTGTCTTTTCGAATTAGAGTTTTTGTCTTTTCCAGATATATGCCCAGAAGTGGGATTGCTGGATCATATGGTAACTCTATTTTTCCTTATTGGCTGCACCAATTTACATTTCCACCAACAGCATAGGAGGTTTCCCTTCTCTCCACATCCTTGCCAACATGTTATTTGTGTTCTTTTTGATGATAACCGTTCTGACAGGTGTGAGGTGATAGCTCATTGTGGCTTTGATTTGCATTTCCCTGATGATTAGCGATATTGAGCATCTCTTCATGTGCCAGTTGGCCATCTGCCTGTCCTCTTTGGAAAAATGTCTATTCAGTTTTTCTGCCCATTCTTTAATTGGGTTGTTTGTTTTTTTGATGTTCAGTTGTATGAGCTGTTTATGTATGTTGGATATTAACCCCTTATCAGTCGTATCATTTGCAAATATCTTCTCCCATTCAGTACATTGTCTTTTTGTTTTGTCGATGATTTCCTTTGCTGTGCAAAAGCTTTTAAGTTTAATTAGGTCCCATTTGTCTACTTTTGGTTTTGTTTCCTTTGCTTTAGGAAATGGAGCCAAAAAAAATATTGCTGCAGTTTATGTCAAAGAGTGTTCTGCCTGTGTTTTCCTCTAGCAGTTTATCGGTCTTACATTTAGGTCTTTAATCCATTTTGAGTTTATGTCTGTATATGGTGTTAGAGAATGTTCTAACTTCATCGTTTTATCTGTAGCTGTTCCGTTTTCCCAGCAGCACTTACTGAAGAGACTGTCTTTTCTCCATTGTATATTTCTTGCCTCCTTTGTCATAGATGAATTGACCATAAGTGCGTGGGTTTATTTCTGGGCTTTCTATCCTGTTCCATATATATCATTTATCAATATATCCCTAGTTTTAAGAGGAAGCATGGGAACTAATATTTAATGAGGCCTAATATGTGTGGGCACCATGCTAAATCCCATTCATCCATCCATTCCTTTGAATCAACCATCATCACTTTTTGTGTTATATCCCACCTTTGACAAAGGGGCTATACAGTGTGTTTATTTTCACACAGTTACTAAGTGAAAGCTGGAATATGAACCCAGTTCCAAAGGATGGGCTTTTGCTGTTACACTATAGTAAATTGATCAGCCAGTCTGGACCCCAAAACTAGACTTAGGAATTTGATTACTGGACTTCTGGGGGGCTTTGGGTCAGTAAGATTGAGCTAAGCCTGGTATTAGGAGAGACCCAACCTAGTGGCAAGGAAGTTCCCAGGCTGAAGGCACCTGGAGACCTTTCACACTCATCGGAAAGGATGGCAGTAGAAGATCACTAGAAGGATATGTTTAAGACCAGCACCAGTGCTTGGAGCCTCCTGTGTTACACAACGCCTGCTTTCCTGAAGACTGCCAACAGAGATGAGTTCTAGGGCATTAGTGGCCCCCACTGCTGCAGCCTGGGAAGCCCTCAAATCTCTTGGGGCCTCAGGTTCCTCATCTTCAAGGTGGACAAAATAATCCAAGCTCTGGTTTCCCAATTCTAGGTCATTTCCTACTGGTGTACCTTGAGGAGGCTGACTACTTCACAAGCTCAAAATCTTTCTCAGCCATGTGTCACCACCTCAAAGGTTCTCATCATTAGGGCTGGTATATTTGATCTAGTGCCATTGAGCACTGTGAGTCTGGAGAAATGCACAGTGAAAAGAAGATTCCACATTCAAATACATTGGGGGAATGCATTGTGCTCTCTCCCCTCTTGAAGATCAGCAGTGCTGTGACGTCCTGCAGAGCTTAATCAGCCTGGATTAACACCACGTCTCCCAGATGGCTATGACCTGGGACACTCCTTTCTCTGCATCACTAATGATTCTCTCATGAAACATTCTTTGAAAACTCTTGGACTGAGGGTGTGGAAATCCATGTTAAGATAGTTTTTTAAATTCCCACAGGAGAAAAACCACTTACACATGGGCAGTCCTGACCCTTGGGCACAATTAGGGAAGCAGGGACTTGGCAGAGTACTGAAGGAATTCAGGTGGAAAGAGGAAGCATTTTCATGATGGGAGAGCATAGGGTAGCTGAGTGGATTTACTTGCTAGGGTTGCCATAACGAAATACCACAGACCAGGTGGCTGAAACAACAGAAATTTATTTTCTTACCATTCTGGAGGCTAGAAGTCCAAGATCAAGGTGTCAGCAGGGTTAGTCTCTTCTAAGATCTCTCTCCTTGGCTTACAGATGGCTGTCTTCTCCCTGTGTCTTTACATGGTCTTTCCTCTGTGTCTGTGTCATAATTTCCTAAGGACACCAGTTACATTGAATTGGGGCCCATTTATATGACCTCCTTTTACCTTAATTTCCTCATTAAAGACTCTATCTCCAAATAGAATCCCATTCTGAGGTACTGGGGTTTAGGGCTTCAACATATGAGTTGCGTTGGGAGAGAAATTCAACCCATAACAATGGAGAAGAGAATAAATCTGGGAAAGGTGCTGTGTCTGGGGCCCTGGACTGTTTGAAGGCTGGGATGCCATTGCTTGAGAAACACTTCTTGAATGCTCACTGTTTTCAAGCCTCCACATAGAGGCTTGTAGGAAGAGAAAAGACAGCTAGCCTACGATTTGGCTTTTTTTTTTTTTTTTTAATAAATTTATTTATTTATTTTTGGCTGCGTTGGGTCTTCGTTGCTGTGCACAGGCTTTCTTTTAGTTGCGGTGATCAGGGGCTGCTCTTTGCTGTGGTGCACGGGCTTTGCATTGCGGTGGCTTCTCTTGTTGCGGAGCACGGGCTCTCTGCGCATGGGCTTCAGCAGTTGTGGCTCGTGGGCTCAAGAGTGCAGGCTCAGTAGTTGTGGCGCACGGGCTTAGTTGCTCTGCGGCATGTGGGATCTACCCAGGCCAGGGCTCAAACCTGTGTCCCCTGTGTTGGCAGGCGGATTCTTAACCACTGCGCCACCAGGGAAGTCCCCAAATTGGCATTTTTAGCTGAAAACCCATGTGCCTCATCCAGCACATAGTTTGAATTTGTGACTAGGAAACTTGGTTACAGCTGTGTCTCTAATGTCAGTTTTGGGGGGAACAAAAAAGGTCGTGTACAGTATTTTATGGAGCTGTTCAGAGATAGAACATTTGATGAAACACATATCAGATTTTTCATTAAAACCGCTTTTACACACTCGATGAAATTGCTGACAAAATACTGTTAAAGTAATTAGATTTAGTTTAGACAAGGTAAAAAAAAAAAATGCACTAAAAGAGTTCAGTAAAATCACAGAAGTCCTCAAAGAGTGAGCTGTGGTCTTGGGGGGAAATAAAATTAACTTTGAATTTACAGTCACTATACACTCACTGTGAACTATTGCTTACTATTATTAACATCACAAAAAATCAAGGGCATCTAAATTTGTCTAAGAGGGTCAAAACATATTTTTATAAATTTTAGAGAAACTGGCTTTCCCAAATGAAAATGCATGTGAAATATGCAACAGAAATGGCCTTCCAATGAAATATAAAGATACACAAACAATGAAAGAAAAATATTTTGCATGACTAGGAAGAAGATGATTCACATACAAATAGTTCCAAACTAACCTGTTTACAAACTACTTTTTGGCCATTATAGGTCAAAGTATCGTCTTGATTGAGGGAGGTTGGAATAAACTGAGCCATGTACTGCTTTTAGGAAGGTTTTCTCATAATATTCCAGAATTGAAAGATTTGAAAGAACAATTCAGGAAGTACTGTACCCTCTAGATACTGCTTTAAAAGGCAATGAAAACTGTAATGTAAGGGATTATTTATATAATAAATTTATTTAATAAAATGCGAATGTTGTGTAATATTTTCTGTAATAATAATTATACATGACCCCAAGAGTAGTTGAATGTGTATAAAATGCATAGTTCGTTTTCTGAACCTAAGTGTTGCTTTAAAAACCTTATTGATAATTTCAGGTGCTACCCCTTATCAGAACAGAATTTCTTCATACTGAAATCAATTTAAAAACTCTGAGTTTTAATGACTCAAGGAAGGTTGTCTAATTTGACATTACTGA